GACTTTTAGAAACAAATCAAGACACAAACCCTTGCAGTGGGAAATATGATAGCATGTGCTTCAGAAAGAGAGCCCTAAAGCTGAAAAAAAAAATGATGAGCCAAGAGACTGATGAACATGTGGATAAATCTAAACATTGAGTGTAGAAATCAATAAAAGCGTTAATATTTTGATATATAAAAACAAAGTGGGAGAATCATTGTTGAGTTAAAACTGAGATCTTAAGTGAAGGCAGAATTACCAGAAACTGGATATTTGAGTTAAAATAATACATATGTAACTTCCAAACCACTGGAATAAAGAAAAAGTATTTAAATAATTGACCAGTGGGGGAAATAAGGCAAAAAGGAAGAAATAGTATAGAAAATGCAAGCTAAGAGAAATCTTGTGAGGTCATGTAAGTAAAGTATATCATTGATCAAAATAAGTAAAACTGTTACTTGTATGTTTAAAAATAGAAACTTGATGGAATTTAAAAATCCAAAATTCAGTTACAAGCTGTTTGTAATGAATCTTCTGTAAAACACAGAAACCATGGAAAGTGGTAGAAAAAGATATGTTAGGAAAATGCAGACTTAAGTGATGCAGTTCTGTCAATGTTAAGCAAAACATAGGTTAAAATAGAAAATATTGTTGGGTATAAAGAGCATCATGATGTATTCATAAAAGGAAGATATATTAATTCAAAATCTGCATCTAAAAATACCTCAAAATATGTAAAGTAAAAATGAATGGAATTATAGGAGGAACTGATCAAATCTGTAGTGGGTGACGAATACCAATATACTTCTTTTTTTTAAATTACATTGCACTATGTGACACAGTTTTATAGGTACTGGAATTCCCCCCACCCCTCCTCAAACCCTTCCTCCCATGGTGGATTCCTCCACCTTGTTGCATTACCACAGTTCACGTTCACATGAGATTCTTTCATTGCAAGCATATACCAAGCATAGAGTCCAGCATCTTATTGTCCAGACACATTCAACGGCTTGTTGGGGACACCATCTCTGGTCTGAAGGTAGAGCCGGCAGAGTATCATCCCTATCAATTAAAAGCCCCGACATAACATCAGCAACAATTTATAACGTTATGGAATTAATTGACATAGTATTGAGTAACCAACATGTTAAAAAAAAATGCAAGTTCTTTACCACATCCTGTGACTCCTTCGTTGACATTTCAACTTTATACACAACCGGGTTCTATATACCTTAAAATGGCTATAGATTACTATTCAGCTGTCTCGTGTCTATTTTCATTATAATATTTGGCATTTTATAGCGTTGAAGCATAATTTTGCTGAACCTGGCAGTTTTTAGGGTGGTTCAAACTGGCTTATAACTCTAACAAGACATATATCAACAGTTTAGGTGCAGAACAGTTTTAGGAGGGGTGTGCAGAGAAATCCTCAATACCCTAGTGAGGAGTAACCAATCTTTGTATCCCACCCCGTAAGGTATAAGTGAATCCACACTGACCGTTTCCTGTCTGATTCCAAGCTTTCCTTGTTGTTCTCTATTTAGTCTAGAATTTTGTTTGTTTGTTTTTGAGGGGTTTCTGAAGCGATCCTGATGGTCATTGCCAGAGAGGGTGGGGAAGTATACTTCTTTGTATGGATGTATGAAGCAGACCAAAAATAAACAAAAATGTAGATTTGAATAGCACATTTTTTAAGAAGTTTATATGTGTATGTATATATATGTATATATGTATAATTCTATAACAAATAATTATAGAATGAATCATTATATTAAAATATGTATAGATTGTTTGTCACATTCTTCCACAGAAATGCAATTTAAAAAAATTAAAGAAAACAGGAATTATAAGTAAATTATAGAACCCATTTGGGTAATATTACCTCATTTGGGAACAATAATATCTCTGTTATGCATTGCAGGGGGGAGGCTGGAAAGCAACACCAAAAGTTATGAGTGGTTATTAGTGGTTCACTGGCTTACAGAGGATTTTTAGTTCTATTTTTAAAGAGCTTTTTTATATTGTTAAAGTTTCCTGTTTATAATACGTCCTTGCGTATTTTCTTTCTGATCAGAAAAAAATCAACAACAAATTTTTTTATGAAATCATGTAAATTGCCTGGTGGTTGCTTTCTTCTTTTCCATCCTTCCACCTAACATACTCTCTTTCCCCAAGCACTTAGAACAAAATTGAAATCCTTAACTTCTTCTGGAAGATTCTACATGACACTGTTTGCACCTATATAACAACCTTACCTCCAGTCACACTCCCTACATTCACTTTAATCACACCGCCGTCTTTTAAACTTCCTTCCATCCCTGGTCTTCACATCTGTTACTGACTTGCACCTCCAAATCTCACTACTCTCCCTCTCTGTATCTATGCCTTAGAGTATTCATTGTATAGCCTTAGGTAAGCCTTTCTTCCTTCCCAGGCTGATTGGTTTGTCTGATAGGTGTAGTTAAAGCACTCTATTTTTTTTTTTCTTCATCACAATAAGTTGAAAATAGATGTTTCCTAATCTGTGGCAACTAATACACAGAGAACAACAACAAAAAAATGTAATGTATATGAGTGAAATTGACATTTGGGGATTTGATTGTTTACAGCTATTGTACTCTTGAAGAACAGCTTTTTCTACTTGCTATTTGTTGAATACTTTACCTAATGGAGTGTTAAGCCTCTGATGGTGAAGTGAACTGGAAGTATCTCATGTAAAAACTATGCAACAACAAAAAAAAAAAAGAAAGAAAAGAAAAAAGAAACGAGAGAAGGAAGTTGAAAGGGAACATGTGGACAGGAGAGAAGGGTGGGAAATATCATTGTACTCCTAAACCTGTGTTGTGAAATACATGAAATCTGTTCACCTTATATAAATGAATCAATTTTTTAAAATAGATATGTATAAACTTACTTGTTATTTGTCTCCATTGTTCAGTGAGGGTAGGAACCACATTAAATTGTCTCATTGCTGTATCTCCAGTATTTAATTCAATGCCAAAACACATGGCAAGTACTCCCTGGATGTCTTATCGGAAGAATGAATAAATGAAGGATAAGTGAATGAGTTCTTGAAATTCCACAAAAGTTACTGGAGATTATGGAACAAAACGGAAATAGGAAATTTCATCAAAGAAAAGCAATCTATGAGTTGTGTTATGCCACATTTGCCTCTTTAGTTTTCCGTTCTAGTAATTGCTAAGAATCACTGAAGAATGCTGACACAATAAATTTTCTTTTGCGTTATCTTCTGTGCAGTTGGCTTAGTGAGCTATTCTTCATTAAAGGAAGGAAGTCTTGTGCATTATCTTAAAAACAAGACAGTATAATCACTGAAGTTGTTATTTCTGAGGCCAAGGACAGGGAAGTAGGATGACTTCTAGATGAGTAAAAACTACTGGGTCATATTTCATCATTCTTGAAACTCTGTTACTTTATATAATTGATAGAGCACCATCTAACCAAAGACCAATGCCAGTTGGCCTGATTATGCTCTATCGTTTCTTCCAGGTACAATTTGTACACATCCAGTCAGCTTGAATAATAATGGTCTTTGTAATTGGGGCCAGTACATAGGAAAAAGACATATGCTAACTGTTGTTCTTCAAAGAAAGATATTGCCTATTACTTAGACTGTAAACTCCAGAGTTTCCACTCCAGTATGTATTCATATATATATATGTACATATATATATAGCCTTTCAAAAAAGATGCTAAGAAAGCAAAATAGGACACTTTTGATCCTGTAACACTATGAAGTCATGCACATACAGTGAATTGTGCTGTGTTTTGTTTTTGTTTTTTGCCCCAGTGAACCTCCTCCTCAACTACTATCCCCACCGAAGAAAAGTCATGGTGGATTTTAAATGTCAAATTCTCAACAGGAGTTCACAGCTTTAACATAGCCACCTTTCCAAAATATCAGTATTATCCTTCTATTTTCTCCAATCATAAAACAGATGCTTTGTAATTGTATACATAAGCAACCCTGGAAAATACATTTTTTCATTTTCCATTTGGAAAACATATATTTCCATGAAGCACATTTGTTTCCTAGTAATTTATGTAGAGGTTATAAATGTTTTCTGGAATTTATTCCCAGATGACCACATAGTTCTACAATGATGTGTGAGGTCAAGTAACACAAGCATTAAAACAAAATTTTATTCATAAATCTGAAATAAACTTCTGAAATAGCATAGTTGAGGCAAGGGAACACTGTCACAGTTGATAAAAATAGATATATCCAATTATAAGAAAAATATGAAATTAGAATGGGATTTGTAGATGTATAATGCTTTTCTTTATTTTGTTTTTAAATGTCAAGGATTTAGATAGACTAAATACACAATATCCCAAAAAGCATTCTTAACAATTGCTAGTGTACAAAAAGAAAATATTTTTAATCTTACTGAATCCAGGCTCTGAAAACATGACTGAGAAAGCCAAATGCTATATTACATGTTCAAACGTATTTCTTAGTCAAATAAACATGCGGCTAGTATGAGGCATCAAACAACTTACAATCTTCTCTTACTTATACATTCCAGAAAAAGTAAGGAACGCCTAAACTATGAATACTCTAAATTGTATGGATCAAATTAATGGAAAGGTAACCAATTCTATTTTTTGGTTGATAATTATGACCAAGTGCTATACAACTGATTGTATTATAGTGTAGTTTTTCTTAGATTCTTCAGACTACTAAAATCAGTAAACCAACCACTGATCATTTTTAGTTATGCAAATTGAAAAGGCAGTAATCTAATTGCTTAGCATAGAAGTCTTCTATTCAGCTATCACTGTAACAGTGGACTAGCTTATCAGTATAAGAAAGTAACATTTCCAGAGTCACAGAAATGATTATGTAACTAAGAAGGATATCACTTGAATTAAATATTGGATCCATCCAAAATATGTCGTAAGAGTAAACAGAATATACAAATCAACAGCTTCTTCAAAGTTTTATAGTTGTTATCAGAGCCATATTGCTGTTTTTTCTCCTTACTCATGTAATCTCAGAAGAAATTAAGAAAATCCAACTCTCTTTTCATAGTTATTGTAACTTCAAGAGTCTCAGTTTCCTGGATATAGGATGCTCTGGCACTGTCGCACTCCACTGGATGGGGAAGGTTTAATAACAATTTCCTAAAATAAAATAAAATAAAAATCTAGAATTAACTTCCTAGAGTGATGTAGCATCTTCCATAAGACAATAGAAAGCAATATGTACCCCTAGAATATTAGAAGCCGAAAAATGTCCAATATTTAGACAGTATAAATGCTGAACAAAAATATGTCTGAATAACACAAATAGTATACCAGGCTTTTGGTCCTAAATATTCAAATGGTTGTTTTGATTCCCTATCTTTTTCTTTTCTGAATTGACCTCATTTTGCATGGTCTAAACATAGCCTCATGTTTATAGGCATAGAAACAGAAAGAGGCAACTTCAAGTTTGCTGGGCAGATTTGTTGCCAGTTATACTTAGGTAAAGCTGGAATGTAGTTAACACAAATTTGGAAACTGGAGTGGTTCTATAACATTTGTGATAACACAGTTATGAGCTAAATCTCTACAAGTGTAGCTTTTGAAACTCAGGCCTGGGATGACTTCAGTATCACAAAAACCTAAGTGTTCTCTCGGCTTGCTTCTCATTCTTTCTACTACACATTGACAAAAGCTCCCTGTGATAGATTGCTGGGTTTATATTGATATATATGGCTCAGATACTGGATAGTTGTATGCTTTAGATGCATTTCTTGGATGAGACATCTATAATTCTGTCATAGATGTACGAAACTGAATTATGCATGGAATATCTAAAGAATATGCTGGTATCTGAAGAAAATTAAATGCATGGAACACTTGTTAGACCACATTCTCATTAGAGAAAGGCTTGAGTGTCTTTATGAAAGGTGAACAGAAAAGCACTTTTAAATACAAAACAGTGAAAGAAGCTGGTATTTATAGAGATATTTCACGGGTACTTGAATAGGGAGCAAGTATTTGAAAGCAAAGCCCTTGAAAAGCAATTCTATCTTTACACATCTGCAAAGACCACAGTTTCAAGGACTGGACTCATGAAAAGTATTTATTACATATTTCTTGAACTGAAAGGCGAAATTTTCTGTGACTCTTGCTCCGTCCTATATGGGTAAAGAGAGACAGTTTTCTGCATCTTAAATAATCAAATGGCAAAGTATTTTAATGTAGCCTGTAATACCTCGCATGTCAAAAAAAAAAAGAGGTATGGAAGACAGAGATTGCCCTTTATTGCTGTTTACAATATAGATTGTGTTCGAGTTAGATCTGCTTTACTCCTTATGCTATAAATGATAATACATTTACTTTAAAAGGAAAGTAAAGCTTCATGTGGTAGCTTCATTGCTCTAAAAGACAGCCATAAATCAGCCGAAGGAGCTCCAATGACAATGTGCACTTCTCTGTCCAGAGAGAAATAAATTCAAAACAGACAGCTAATGGCCATTGAAATGACACATCCATCCCCGCATTTCTGTCTAGTCTTGAGTGGTATAGCTAAAATTTTGAGCAGAATTGTGCAGCTTATTAAGGCTTTTATTAGAAGGGAGTATTTTTGTGTAGTGTATTTTGCTGCCTAATATCTGTGTTGAGATTTACATTTCAACAAGATAGAAGTCTTACAAATATTTTTCCATGTGCAAATTATTGTAGGAAAACACCATACCTTATCTTATGGTTCTCCTAGAGTCTATCAGAACATTTTATAAACATTTGTTCAGTAAACAAATAAATGAATGGAAATGAAATATTTAGGTCATCACAAAATGGCATTTGAATAATTTCCATTGATGTGTACTATAAAATAGGGATAAACACTTAAACCCAAGGCAAATACATTTACTTCTTATGAGCTAGAGTTTAGGCATTGATAAAAATGCAAATCCAGGGGCCAGCACAGTGATATAGCATGCTCTTCCTCTACCTGCAGCGCTAGCATCCCAAATGTATCATCCCATTCATAACCTGGCGGCTCCACTCCTGATACAACTCCTTGCTTATGACCTGGGAAAGCAGCAGAGGATGCTCCAAGTCCTTGGATATCTGTATCCACATGGAAGACCCAGAAGAAGCTCTTGGCTTCTGGCTTCAGATCAGATGAGTTGTGGCGCTGCAGTTATTCGGGGGAGTAAACCAGAGAATGGAAGAACTCTCTCTGTGTTTTCTCTGTGTAAAAATACGTCTTTCAAATTTAAAAAAAAAACATATAAATTATCCTGCTTTAGATGTAATTGAATTCTAACTCCTGTCTGCAGTTGTCTTGGGAAGGCCAGACCAAATGATTTTGTGAACATGACACAATTAGGGCCAGACATTCCTTGCCATGCATGGCGGGAATCTACAAACAAGTGAAAAAAAAAATGAAGAATTCAATAAGTGTATTCATTTATTTTGGTTGTACAATGATGAATATTTGGTGTTTATGTATAATTCTAATGCATCTGACTATGGTTTGACTTAAATTACAAATCACTTTATTTAAAATAAAACCTCCTGTTCTTCCTTATAGCTACATGAATACAATGTCCTCTTAAATCTTTCTTGGATGGATAAACACAATGTTGTAGGATGCCAAAGTCAGAAGCTAAAGAAAGTAAAGTGTGAATGCCAATAAATTAAAACATAACACACATTGCTGACAATAATAGTTTTAGGCAATGACATGGTTATAAGTGATAAAAAAAGTAATAAAGAAAACTTAATTTTGTCTTAAGTCTTCAATATTTATGGATTTTTCTTGACAGAGAGCACTTCTCTGCCCTGAGCATTTAATATGTAAGTACATGATGTATAATATTGTAAATTGTATATATCATTTAATATATACAAGTACAGTATACAAGAGGCCTAGTGCAAACAAAGTTCTATGTGGAAAAATACCTCTGTGTCAGATTTTTCATTTAGTGGATTCTGATAGATATCTGGAATGACAGCATAGCTAGAGTAGCTGCCTAAAGATTGATGGAGACAGTGAGAACTGCTTGGGAAACAGAAATTAACTCCATGGTGTGCAAATGTGTGTGTGTTTTTAACAAGCATTCAAATATCATGCAAGATTGATGGCTCATTTAAGCAATTTTCCTCGCAAACGTGTGAAAGAGTAAATGTGTCAAATAAAATACAATGAAAGAGTACAATGCTTCATGACTATTTTGACTGAAATTATTGGTCACATCAGTTAAAATAAATTTAGTTGTTTTGCCTTATAGACGCATGAACAAAATCTCTTCTCTTAAAGCTTTCTTGGAGTGAATGAACATAGTGTTCTAGAATGTCAAAGTTAGAACCTTTGAAGTAAATGATAGGAGTGGTATATATAATTTTTATATATCACAGGAATGTTTTATAATAATACATTTTGAAATGATATAAATAATGAAAAATATTTGATAATATTTACCTGTGTATCATTTGGGGTTATACACATATACCACAAAAATTAAGATTAAGCTATACATACACTTTGGGTTGTTTATACACAGGAGTCTATTGTAGTAGAAATTTACTTTTTTTACTTTCTTCACAAAAGAGAATTGTAGGTATTGATTATAATAGAAAGAAAATATGCCAGCAACTTCTTACTCCCCAAACCAGCTTAAAATGTTTGAATTACACATAAAAAACTACTGCAGTCAACCAATGTGTGTTCCATGTTGTATATGAAGATGAAAAAGTAAACATAGCAGTGAGATATTTAGATATTTTATAGACACACATCAGCTTCCACCAATTCCCTCTATAGAGAGTTTTGAGACAGGACTGATTGATCTCTGTTTCAAGACAAAGATTCCATAGCAAACTTACTGTATGTGTTATGCTTTAGAAACATGTTTGAACATATGAAATGTATTAAGGAAATATCAAAGTGTTTAACTGAATTATCCTGCCATCTGTGCTATTTTTAATCAATTCACACAACCTGAAAAGCTAGTAGTAAATTAACTGTTGGAAATTTAGCTTTGTGAATTGATGACAAGACTTTGCCTGTTGAATTTTTAGAAGAACATGATCAAATTAAATTCAAAGCTCCATAATACCCCAAAAGTATAATGATATTATTATCTTAGACCATTATTGTACCCCAAAAAACCACACATGATACAACTTAAAGAATTTTCTCCTCCAGCTATTTTTCATGAAAGATAGTAACAAACTATATCTCAATGCCAAGTATTGTGCTTTGATGGTATCAGCCCATTCCAAATGTACAGATGCAAAGCAGAGAAAAATCTAGGTCTCAATCAGAAAAACTTTCCGAACACATTTGTGCTTGTTTAGCTGTATCATTAAATGATTTTTAAAATTTATTTGAAAAGCAAAGTTACAGTGAGGGGGGAGAAATATAAATGAATACATACATACATACATACATACATACACACACACACATACAGAGAGAGAGAGATACCACTGCTGGTTTACTCAACAATGGCTGAGGCTGTGCCAGGATAAAGCCAGAAGCCTGGAGGTTTTTCTGAGTCACTCATGTGGGTGCTGGGATTCAAGCATTTGTACCATATTCTGCTAATTTTCCAGGTGCATTAGCAGGGAGCTCAAGTGGAAGTGGAGTAACCATGTCTGCAACCAGCCTCCATAGGGATGCCCCATTGCAGATGTCAGCTTCACTTGCTATGCCATAACAACGGCCCCTTAATCTGAAGTCTTTTTACTACACTCTTTATGAGGTGATGTAGAATATGAGTGTGTATACTTTTAAAAAGAACATTAATACATTATAATATCAATAGTATTCTAATACAGTTATAAGTTTTACTCACTTATTAGGAGTACGTAGATCAAGGACCGTTTCCTGGATATCGAGTTTAATTTCAGAAGGGTTTGTATTTGGTAGTTTAATTTTAACCTGAAAAATAAGATAAGAAGAAAAATACCATTACCTTGGAAAAAGGTTGATTTGAAGTATAAGAATACATCAGGAAAGGAGAACTAATAATTATTAAGTGTCAACAATGTGTCAGGCTATGTCTTTTCTTTATATCAATCTGGAGAAGCAGGGATTATTATCCTCATTTTATAGATGCAGAAACTGTAACAGAGAAGTTCAGTGGGTGGCCCAAAGGCAATTATGCTGAGGCTCATCTGACTCCAAAACCATGTGGGAACATCATAGTTATTTGTCTGTAACATCCGTTGTCTGGTGTATATCAGTGTGCCTGCTATAGTTAGAGACCTTCAAATGCTTTATATCAAGTATATAATTTGTGTGAAAATGTTTAGTTGTCATTTTAGATATGTTAGCGATGCCATCCTGTATCTCCTACCATAAACTCCTATAACACAGTTTTAGACATTTTGGAGTCTAAAAAAAGATGTTAACAGAGAGCTAACGATATAACTCCCACCTCTCAGAAAGGGTTATTTACTGATTTAGTAAGATGCCACCTCCCAATTACCACATGGCCCAGCAATCCCACTCCTAGGTATATACCCAAACAAACGCATTGAAACAGGTATACAACCGAAACTGTGTATGCAATGCTTTGTTCATATAAATACTATTCACAACATCCAAATGTACAAACAACCCAAGTGTGCATCTGTTGATACAAGACAAACAAAAACAGCATAGCCACACAATGGAGTAATTATTCATTCAAAAAGGAATACCTTACTGCACATAAATGAAACCCAGAAACATGCTAAGTGAAAGATGTGAAACACCAAAAGACACATGGTACAGAACTGTAGTTATGCAAAATGTCTAAAATAGTGAATCACTGGAAACAGAGAGTAAACTGATGGTTCTTACGAAATTGAGGAAGGCAAAAAGGAGAAGGGATTGTTTAATGGGTAGAGCATTCCTCTTCAAGTTGATGTGTAGGAAGTAGATACTGGTGATGGGTGCAAAGTGCTAAATGCCAGTTATGGTAAATTCTATATTCCATATATTTTAGCACAGCACAAAGCTGTTACTCTCTGTCTAATTTATATTCATTATATTCATTATATTTTGGTAGGAATTAATGAGATATGCTTTTTCTAAACAAAGGACACAAATGTAATTTAAGATTCAAGTAAAGTGCGAAGGCTTCTCTAAAATGAAGGAAACAACTCAAAATATAGGCATGTGTTTATTTCATTGGACATTCAAGAAGCAAGCTATGAGGAAACTAATATATATGCACGTGAAGGCACACACACATATAAACATTTCAGGTGTAAGCAACAAATATTTGGATCCCTCATCCAGGTGTCATGAGTCAACATGAGACTGCTTAAAGAATATTTTGGTTTGAGTGCCAAACTAAATGTCATTTCAATTAAAAATGGAATTTTTCTTGTCTGATTGAATGCTCATTTATTTGAAGGCAGAATACCTGTAACAAATATTTGTAAATAGAGCCCTAGAAATGATATTATTTAATACTTCTTACATATAATAGTTTTATTTAAAAAATTTTTTTTTCTGAAAGGCAGATTTTTCAGAGAGAGGGAGAGACAGAGAGGGAAAAATCTTCCATCTGCTGCTTCATTCCTCAAATGGCTGCAATGGCCAGAGATGAGCTGATCCGAAGCCAAGAACCAGGAGCTTCTTCCTGGTCTCCCATGTGGATGCAGGGACCCGAGGACTTGAACCACTCTCTATTGCTTTCCCAGGCCATTATCAAGGAGATGGATCAGAAGAGGAACAGCAGAGACTCAAATCCATGTCCATATAAGTTGCTGGCGCTGCAGAAGGAAGATCAGTCTGCCCACTACGGCCATATATTTTCATTAAACAAAGACTTACCTCTTATTTTATATTTTGCAAATTCAGATCCTCAAAATTAGATATTCTTTAAGTGAGGTAAGTATAACACTCCTAAAAAAAAGGTAGTTACAGGTGTTCTGCCTTCAAATAAATGAACATTCTATCAGACAAGAAAAGTTCAGTTTTTAATTGCAATGACGTCTAGTTCGGCAGTCAAACCAAAATGCTCTTTAGCAGTCTCATGTTGACTCATGTCACCTGAATGAGGGATCCAAATATTTGTTGCTTATGCCTGAAATGTTTAAACCTTTCACAGTAAAATGTAATTTTCTCAGGGTTGAAATGATAATTGAGGAAGGGAAATAATTATGACATGAGCAATTTAGACACAATTTTGGGATAAAACTTCAAAGTGATTCTAAAATCATTTGCAGTTCTAGTGAGAAACTCATTCAGAAACAATTTTTCCTCTTAAGGACATTAAAATTGCTCACTAAATGTTTTCAGGGAAAGGGGTAGGAGAAGGGAATAATGTATATTAGTATCTTACAAAATAAAAGTTTTAAAATAAAATTGTAACAGAAAAATGTCTCCTGAAATAAGAAGCAGATTTCTTTAGCAATACTTTCAATGAAGACTGGGAAAACAAGCTTGAATATTCATTTATCTCTGTGAACAAGACCTAACTTGTGAGGTAGGCATTGTGGCACAGCAGGTTGTCACTTTTGAAGTCTCAGCACCCCATGTTGAGGTGCAGGTTTGAGTCCCAGCTATTCCACTTCTAATCCAGCCCTCTGCTCTTTGTAGACCAGGACGGAGTTCCTGGCTCCTGGCTTTGGCCTGGGTAGCCCTGGCTGTAGCAATCATGTGGAGAATGAACCAGCAGGTGTAAGCGCTCGCTCTCACTTTCTCTCAGGTGTCTGTGATTTGATTTTCAAACAAATCTTTTAAAAAGGCATAAATCTTTAAATATTAACAAATGTAATATGCCACGGAACAAACAATCCAAAGAACTGATGTTCCTCTTCTTACAAAAGACACACACTTATTTTAGCAAGTATTTTGGCACACCAATGAAAACTGCTAAAAATTTCGTTGTGAGACTTCCAGCCTTTTGGGAGCTCAAATTTTTGGGTCAAACCGGCTTGAATTGAGGGTTCTGTCACTTATTTATTATTGTTTATTAGTTATCTATTCTTAATCAATTACTCACTGCTTGAATTTATGTCTCAAAACAACAATAAGCATGCATAATTTCCCACACTTTTCATGTCACAGGAATTCGGGAGTGACTTGATTGGTGGTTCAGTCAGGGTCTATCACAAACTAGGGTTACAGGTATTTGATGATTTGACAAAGGATAGAGGATCTGCATGCATGTTAAGTAACTCATGTGGATACCAGCAAAGGCCTCAGCTGTTCACAAAAGGAACTTCTCCATTGGGTTCTTGAGTAACCCTGAGACACAGTTGTTGTACTCCTTCCAGAATGAATGACACAGATGCCCAAGGCAGAAACAATTCCTTAAAAAAAAAAAAAAACCTGCAGCCATAGAAATTATACTTTATGGTCATACAGATTACACTACAGCATATATACAGGTCAGCCCTATTCAATATGGGAGAGGATTCCACACAGACAATAATGGTAGAAGGTAAGAAGCAATGACAGCTATCCTGGAATCTGATTATAGCAGTATTCATCACTAATTTTAGTTCAGATTTCGGCCTTTTAGTCTTGTAAATAAAAATAACAGGAAAGGGAGCTAGCATTAAGGTACAGGGGCTTAAACCACTGCCCAACAAACTGGCATCCCATATGAGCTCCAGTTTGAGTCCGAGGGGCTTCTCCTCCAATTCAGCTTTCTGCTAATGCTTCTAAGAAAGCTGCAGAACATGGCCCATGTACTTGCGCTCCTGCTACCTGTGCGGAAGACCCAGAAACTTCTGACTCTTGGCTCCAGCTTGGCTATTTGGGGAATGAACTAACGGATGGAATCTGTCTCTCTCTTGCTTCTAGTCTGTTCTTTCACTGTAACGCTGACTTAAGAACAAATAAATCTTTTTTAAAAGTAACAGGAAAAAGTCCACTAAATTATGGTTTGTGAAATCTCTCCCTTGCAATTTGAGTTTGTCTTCAGGCAAGTAGTTAGAAACTACTTGGTTAGTCTTCTTTCCAGGAATTCACTTCGAATGTTTCCTGAAGAGAGATAACACAAATCAAAGGGTTTATAAATTGCTTTCATTGGCCTTATTATCCTGTATGTGTTGTATTAGAGTTGGCTCATGACACCAAAGTCTTTTTTCGTGGTGGTGCTATTATTATGGGATTATCATTTTGAGTGTTAAATCTCTCCTTTCTTATCTTGTTCTTATGAGAGATTTATAAGACAACATGGTTCCTAAATAAAGCCTTACAATCTGTGATTGATAGAGATTTGCCATCTCCTCTGATAAGTGTTTCTGATCATATAGTTAAGATATGTGAAACTGGCAAAAGAAATCTAAAGAGCAGTTGTCCAACGGAAATTATCCATTCTAAGTTTCCATCTGAAGTGTCACTTTGTCACTACCAAAAGAGAACAAGTTAAAATATCTTACATGTAATCTACACTATTTACTGAAACTTCAGTGAAGTGTAAGATATACAGAAAAGCTTAGCCTGGCACTTGAAATCTCTTCTAAACTAATTGATGGGTTCCTAATACGTTTTTATTAAGTCTTAAGATTTATTTATTTTATATAGGAAAATTGGGTTAAAAGGAACATAGTCCCACTTTGAAATTATTTGAAAATTTATCTCTGAAGAATGAAGAATTAGGGAGAGGATTTTCCATCTGTTGTTTACTTTGCAGTTAGCTGCAATGGCCAGCACTGCTCCAGTCAAAGCCAGAAGGCAGGAGCTTCTCCCATGTGGATGGCAGGGACTGGCTTGAGCCATCTTCCACTGCTTTCCCGGGCAAATTAGCAGGGAGCTGGGTCAGAAATGGAATAGCCAAGACTGGAACCAAAGCCTACATGGGATGCTGGTTTAACCTGCTGTCCTACAGTGCTGGCCGCTTAGATATTATTATAATATCTCCATATTATAGAAATTCAGCAATCACCCCCAATATATTTGATGATTAGAGAAATTTAGACTGTTCGGGTTTC